GGGGACAAGGCCCCAGGAAGCCAGTCTGCCGGTCAGGGGCTGGAACGAGGCCTGAGGCTCTCAGGGCAGAGCTCGGGCAGGGGCTGAGGGCCCAGAGCTGAGCTTAAATGGGCTCCTGGGCCCATGGGTGGGGGCGTGGGGGGCCCAGGTGGGGCTGGTCAGGGCCATCAGGGCAATTAGTACCCAGAGGGCCCTGACAGAATGCTTTAAAAGGTCCTTCTTTCTTAACTGAGGTACAAGAATTCAACGTATATGCTCATCATATAGACTTGTTACTCAAAAAAACCCCAACAAACAAAAAACCCAACAAACAAACCAAAAAGACAAACCAAACGCCAAACCACCACCACCATGACAACCAAAAAAATACTAAGGAGGAAAAAAAAAAAAAAGTCTTTCACCTTTAAGACTTCACATTTACTTTCACAGAACTGTACCACAGCATCAGAGCTGCAGCAATTTGCCCTGGGCACTATGGATTTTCCAAAGGGCTTTATGCTCACACCTGGAGTCCTCTTCTCTTTTTCTAAAGGAACTGTATCACCTCATAGATGGATGTGACTCCGGACTAATGTACTTACCTTTAACTTCCAGTTTCTTCAGTGAAATCTCCATTCTAGGAGGTCTCTTCTCCTGGCCCCTATCGTGATGTCAGGAGATTACTAAACTGAAGGAAGAGTGGGAGCCAGCAAGAGGTATGTCTCTCAGTCTGATCCTCTGTGACTTTGTGTAAATAACCGGCAGAAGGAACTAGGCCATTGTCAATTGGACTTTGTACCGATATGTCCCTCTTCCCTGGCACAGCTTTCCTTAGTGGCTACATTAACTGTTAATTAACTAGAGAGAGAGAAATGTTTGAACACGTGAAAAAGCACCCTGAAATGCACTGACAAGTTTACAGTGTTTCTGTGGAAACGGAAAGTTCACTGAGCATTTCTGTTTATTCTGCCTGGTAAAAGGTAAGAGAGAAACAATGAAGTTCAGAGACAGGTAAGAAGGGACACTAAAGGACTCAAAGACACAAAGGAATCATTT